ACACACACATAGCCTCTTCCCAATATGCGTTTTTGCAATTTACATATATGCAAAAACGCATAAAAATGCCGACATTTCGCCCGGGCCTTTGCGTAATGAGATGTAAGTGGGAGCTGAATTTATTTTCCAAGGAGACAAACCACCCTTCCAAAATTTCAGGTTCGTGTCTTGTCTGGTTCCTGATTTAGACAAAACTTTCATTCGCACAATTTTAACTCTCCGCAGTCCTACCTGCAAGCCAATTGTGCCGTTTTTCATATGCTAACAGAAAACATCCTTCACAAGTTTCAGCTTTTTATGTTTTTTTGCATGTATGCAAAAACACATATCGTGACGACCCCGGTGTATGCGTGTGTATGTGTGTGTGTGCGTATGTGTGTGTGTGCGCGCCTGTCCGAGTATTTTAACTCGCACCCAAGCAAGCTCCGGCGCAAAAAATTTTGCGAGTGGGTTCCCCGGCCAAGTGTCACCCCTGGACCGCGGTACCAATCCTCACGCACGTCTAGGCCGCGCGTACGAGCGCCTTAAAGGTTTGGCGGGAAAATCGCTAACTTGGGAACCAGATAGAAAGCTGAAATTTTGGGATTATGTCCCCCGTCTATACAGAACTCAAACATTTTAAATTCAGCCTCCAGGTGTGCGTGTTTCCCGCGTACGGCCCCGTGAGGGTTCCTAGTGCGAAAACCGCTAGCTCGGAAACCAAGAAAGCTGGGAGGCTGAAACTTCCAGGAAATGTTCGTGGCTCATCTGCTACTTAAATTTGTTAAATCCAGCCCCCATTACGCGTGGTTGTTATGTACGGCCCCGTGAAATTTTCTGGCTAGAATTTTGGTTACTCGGGAACTAAGAGAGCTGAGAATCTGGGATTTCAACGGAATTTTCCCTGTCCAAGTGTAGCGTGGATAATTAACTTCCCGAAATTCGAGGACCAGTATGTACAAGAGGTTTCTAGCTAGCGAAAAAGTGATCTTATTACAGCCGAAACATTGTTCTAGGTCTGCAAGCCGACGAAAAACATCTCCCTGTAACTTCAGCTTTCTAGCTTTTCTAGTTGCTAAGTTAAAAACCAGGGACAATCCTAAACAAACACACGTAGACACGCACGCACACGCACACAGGGCCTCTAAAATACGCTTTTGTACCCTTCTGCAGCGCAGAACGCACTAAAACGCTGCGAAGCGGTGCTGTCCACGTTTGAATTTGCTGAAATCAAACTGAAATGATACTCGCATTGATGGCACAAGTAACAGTAAGGACATAAGCAATTCCTTGCCCAAAGCCAAACATAATTCCGTACGTGACCAAAAATGCCAGAAATGACTGCCTGATTGTCCAGAATGATAAAAACACACCAGCTCTGCAACACTTATCAGACTGGCATCATTTTTAATGCGATTGTGAAAATGTGGATAAAACAAGTGGTAATGTCATTAGACCACTAGCGTGTGTGTACGGCGTGTTTTTGATAAATCATGCTAAAGTTATAATGCAGGATGACCGCACTGAAGCATGCATGTGTCTGTCTATACAACTTTTGGAGCTACAATTGCCAGGGAGATAAGATTTTGACGTCAATTGCTTATGACTGAGAAAATGTATAATCAACACATTTCTTCTTCTGTGTTCTGATCCCGGATTCAAACTGGATAATTTCGACATTAAGAGACATTGTGTGCACCAGGCCAAAACCCTTAAACCAACTTTTCCATCCAGGGCAATCTTCATCTTAGAGCTCAGTTCGGCCCTGAACAATTAAGACCGTCCTGTGAGTATGCAGGAGAGCCTGCTTGTTGTAGTAATTCCTAAATAATCAAGACTAAGGTGTTGAGAACTGCGAGCACTTCCTGATCGCCCGGCCACCACTGAACAGCAAATTTAAAACGAATTCCATGCCATCCTACGCGGAGAAGATCACAGATTTGATCTCACGACATAGCATCATGCCAGCATGGTCGCAACATGTGTCTTAAGATTTCATATTTCGTCCGTTGCTAAACTAAATATAACTGCCTGATCGAGAGGTCGAAAAGTCCGCAACTAATTGCGACAACTCACAAAAACATGAGGTAGAAAGAACTCCTGCATGCTTTATTGCATTCGCCCAGTGCTAGCCTGCAGCAGCTTATTGCGGCAACGCACAACAACGTCACTGCTCGAGGGGACATGGTCTAAAATGGGAACTACAATTCTGCAAAAGTAATCTAAGCTGGATGCTATCATGCGTTTTTGCTGTGCAGCGCTATAGCGCTGCCG